AATGATGTTAATATGTTCAAGATTATGAGATTCTGATACTGCTGATAGAAACATTCAAGAATAAAATGAAATAGGCATTATCGTATAAGAGATTAATAAAGGTGATGAAGTATTAAGTAACATGAAAGAAGGTTATATGAATATATATGTATAGAAGATCAAAGTAAAAAGTCATTTGTATCAAGTTCTAAATAAAATTTAAAGAATAAAAAAAGACAACATCAAATAAAGTCTGAAAACTATATTGAAATATATGAAGAAAAAGAATAAAAGTATTGAAGTATAGTTTTAATTATGTACATGAATTGTTTGTTAAATTTTATATGCAAGAAAATTTATTTCTTAATATATTACGCATGAAAAGATCTAAATGAATTTTTGACCCTATAAATTCAAGCAATTTCTTTCGAGCATGATTATTTTCATGATGTAGATAAAGTATTAAATTCCTTTTAATTTTTATATCCAACAATATTTCGTTAGTGTTTTCTTTTTCTACTTTTGAAACTTACAGATTACAAACAAGTGAAGCGATCTAAATGATAGCTTTTGTTTGTGTTGGAATTTCGTTCTTAAATATGACTTGGAATGTAGACGAAAATCCTAAAAGACTTCTTAGCATGGATTTTCCTACGCATTGATCCGATACTTTTTACATTATAGTGGAAACTTCAGCTAAAACGCATGGTTTATTCTCAAAATATCAGATGTCTAATATTTTGCATGTTTTTTTCAGGAAGTGATGTCTATCACAAACGCATAGTGTCGGAAGAGCCTTTGTAAGACTAGAAAATTGTTAAAGAGATTCGAGTCGTTGACCTACTTAATTATATTGAGTTTTTCAAAAATGTCTTGCTATCAAAGTTTCATTAAGAAGCCGATAACTCTTCATCAGTAGATCATGGACCCGATTCTCTTTAAGTTGTTCTTAGTCTCACAAGGTCCCACTTGTACTGATAGTATGAAATCGAGCGGCGTCCGTTAATTGCATATTACAAGACTTACGAAACCTATTCTTGAGAAAAAAAACTAATCAGATGATTTCTTGCTAAGTAGTTACTTTCTATTAATATCCTTGATTACTCTTGAAATTCTGTGAAATTATCATAACTCGAGAGAAAATCGTAATGACATGAATAGATTTAGGTTTTTGCTCTCCTCTCTCATTCATACTCATTTACGAAGTACGAACTCAAATGAAGAATATTAGTTGAATGGGTTGCCTCGTTAGATATATCATTCTCGACCTATTCAATACCTCTAAGTCTGGTATCAGCATTAACAACAGTTAATTTAAAGTCCAATTCCTATCAGAAATCTCTTGTTGTCTCAGAACAGTCGATCAATGTAAAGTGTCAAAGAATGTGTGTCTAATCTTAACAATTCACAATAAAATTTTCGATCGAAAATATTGAGCTTATTCATGAGCTATCATAACATCAAGGGTCAAAAGGTAGGTCGCTGCATGATAAAGATTTCTCCTTCAAATCAAGTGATACAGACATCAGACTAGTTTTAAAATGCAGCCCAAAACTGTCGTTACAATTTAACAAAGCTCAATATGTAAAAATATTTTTTCTTTACTTCAGATGAAATTTTCCCTAAAAATAATTCGAAAAACCAGAATGCTTTCACAGAAAAACATTCATTTCTTTTTCAACAAATAAGTTAAAAATGTATGCAATATTCTCTTCGATTTAAAACATTCTCGAGCTTTCTAGTATATAGAACAGCCAAGAAACTGTGAACACAAAAACAGAAAAAAGGGAAACAAATCTTGAAAAGACATAATAAATTTGGTGAATCGTATCTAACGGTGTCATAATCCCAAAATCGCAGTTTCTGACATGGGTGTGAGTCTTAATCATTTCATTTTCGATTGATATTTTTATCCAAAATCAGCTTTTTTTTCTTATCTATATGAAATAATTTTTCCTACACTTTATACAAATCGAAAATAAGAATTTTCTCATTTTCACTCGATTAACATTCATAAATTCGTTTATATGGACGTCCCTTTATTGTTTCAATAATAGTGAATTCAGAAGTCTGTTTAATCGAATGTTTACGATTTCTTACGACAACTAGCGAAATTTGATTATGTTGGATAATATTATTATCGATCGTTCATTGTTGTCATTTTTTCTTTCGTTCTATAAAACATATCATTTTCTAGTAGAGAACGAATATAAACAATGGATATTGATGAAGTACAATATTTATCTGAAAATGAACTTATTTCTGTGGTACCAAATTTTAAACATCCTGAAATTCATTTAATTCGTGGATCTGTTGGTCCATTTTTACCATTAATTCCATTACAAGTTCCTATGTGGATGGTTTGTTATCGATTGAATTTTTTCATATTTTTTTATTTTTTATTTTTTTTATAGGCAATTCATCTTAAAGAAAGTCATCGTTGTCGATTTGTTTGTCCTGAATGGTTAACACTTGATTCAGTACAAGAATTACTTAAACAAGAACAACAACAACAAGAAACATTTACACAAATGCCTAATCCATATGTATTTATATTATCACAAACAATAATGAATGTTGCTTTAGAAGATATTCCAAATGGTGATCAAATTCGCTTATTAATGAAAGATTTATGGGATTTACGTTTAGCAAAGTTACGTTCATCTATTGGAAATTTAGCACGTAGTGGTTCACTTTATGCTAAAGTAACACATTTAACACAAGTTGAAATATGTTTAATAAGAAATTTTCTTAAAACTTCGTTGAAACATATTGCACAATTACAAGATGTTGTACCAGAAGAATAAAAGACAAAAATAAATAAATAAATAGATAGATTGAATACATATCAATATATTTTATTTGAAAATATGAATTATATTTGTTAGTAAATCCTAGATTTATTCTTACTTTAAAAGAAATGTATAATATAAATAGATATTTTCAATAGTAGAAGGCTGAAAGTTTGGGTGTCGGTGTCAATGAAAAGAAGATTCATGCCGACATTCTTGTTTTGATGATAAACTAACAATTTTGGTACACTTTGACGCTTTTTTTTTATCAGAAAAAAGTGATAAAAGTAATGTATTTTTCTTGAAGAAAAATCTTTACCCTTCTCTGTATGAACTTGTTCTGAAATATTTGCCAGTACCAACGACATCAGCGCCTAATTAAAGAATATTTTCTCAAGGCGATGTTGTACTGCGCCCATATTGCGTATCATTAACTTTAAAAAAAATGTATACTTGCTTACACTTGATAAAAAACAGCATATCAGTTTATGATTCTTATAATGTCTTGATTTCAAAATTGATATATCATTTTAAAAACCACTAATCAAATTTACTCTAGTAAGATCTTAGGAAACTCACTCTTATATACTGATACTCGAGAAAGTTCGTACTTGTCCAATTCCGAGTATGCTCATAAAAGTACTTTTGATCTTATTAATAATGTTGAACGAATATTTTTTATGTTAACTAATAAAGATATGCATTGAATATTTGTATTTTTGTATCAAAGATGTGGCAATATGGTTTTATAATCCTAGATTTACAGAGAAAATAAGTTTCTATAAAGTTATATATCAACAAAATCTATCGATCAGTCTGATTGCAGTTCTATAGAAAACTTCAGTTGAGATTGAAAGAGACATTGTCAACCAGGAATTTGTATTTAATCGAAAACTGTTTGTTTTACAATATTAGATACTTAAAAAAAGAACTTTTTCTCCGATGTTTTCTATTATATTTCTATAAAAATGAGTTAAATCGATTTTTCGATCTAAATTGAACTATTTCGGTACAAGCATTACTTTTCTATTGTCGATTTACTTTGCTAAACGAAAGATTTTCATTTTCAGTTTCGTTTATCATTTCTTTAATATAAATGTTAGTGTAGGCACCGGGAATATGAGATTTGGGTAGGCTAAAATCTATACTATATTCTGATATCGTAGACTCAAGCATCTGTTTCATTGCCTTCGGTGGCAAATAGTAACATTTTCGTAGTACAACAGACTTAGAAAATGTTATAGACAAAATATTGAATTTAATATGACTAAACGTTGGGCTCTACATTGCAAGTGCAGTGAACTATACAGGAATCTAAAATTAAATAAACTACAAATTGCCAAAATTTTACTCCGCTTCTGATGGCTAAATTTACATTCCTAAGTGACCTTTTCAACAAAGTAAACGAACTAACAATCTAATTCATTTTACTCTTAAGAATACTATTGTTTCACCATTATTCTGTTTTTCAGCAAAATTGCTTTACGCACGTTGTGATTTTTTTTTCTGAATCATATCAGCTTTATTTAGTGTAAAATATGAGTTAGAGCTAGAAAAGTATAAACTGTGGTTCATTTGAATGGCATGAAAAGGTTTGTTCTTAATCCGTATTCTTAATTCTCATTTTGAATTTTCGCCTTTTTTGAAATATCATAATATTCTTATCTCAAAAATTTAAATATTAATAAATTTATTGGTTTAAAGATCAATCTAAGATTATTAATAGCATTTCCATAAGACTCTGCGCAATAAACTGATGCATCAATCTGTCCAACCGGCTTTTGAAACAATACAACATTCTCTGATTCATATACCATTTGGCTTTGTCCCATTCTTTTTATATTATCAAAGTCCATGATCATCACATTATTTATAACTCTATCTAAATAGTAAAGACAATCTCTTTGAAATTATCATTTAATTCATCTACTAAGATCATCTGAACAAAATATTTTTGTATTTATTATAATTAAAATTTTCTATACAGGTACATATTGGTCAATATTTCAAATTAACTAACAAAAAAATATATTTACATCGAATAGTACATATTACAAATTTATAAAAAGAAAAACATTTAAGTATAATCACAAGAAACTTGATATTTTTAAAAGCTTTCAAAATACAGTGACAAATGCTAAAAAAGAATGCTTTTTTTTCTAAATCACCGTAAAATGATGGGAAGAAATAATTAAACTCAGGAAAAGATAGAAAAATAGTTTTATATTTCTACGATAAACAAGCAAGAGTTTTGGTTAAACTTAATTGATAATCACTCCATGATTGTGATTGTTCTTCTTTACATAGTTTTGTAAATGAAAAAGGAAATAAATTGGATTCATTACTAAAATTTTCTTCTTGATCTTCATCATCATTATCATTAGTGTCAATATGATTTGAAAGAAATGTTAAATTAAAGAATGCATCACTATGACCTAACATGGATGCTTGACGATAATAATCACATGCCTAAATTTATTTAAAGAATAATTTTATTCAGATTGAAATACGAAATAATTTACTTTAGTACGATCTTTTTCAACACCAATACCTCTTTCATAACAAATACCTAAATTATATAATGCTGCGGAATTTGTTCCATATTTTGCACTCGTTTGAAGAGTTTCAATACCCAATTGTACATCTCCAGCTTCAAATGCTTCGATAGCTGATTGATTATTTATAATCGACGTTGTTTCTTCATTTAATTCGGATAGATTTTTCAAAGTTTTCATACAATTTTCATCTGCTTGAAACAATGAATCAAGACTTTCTTCTTGTTGAGTCGAAGAAGTTGATGATGTTTGAACTTCTTCGACGATAGATTTAGTTTTAGGGAGTTCAATAGGTTTGATAACATGTAGTTTTAGTATTAGCTAAATTTTTCAAAATAACAAATAATTTGTTTGTTTAATTTTAATTTCAAACCTGTTGAAGTGAAGTTTTAAATAAATATTCTTGCAATTTTTCAAAATTTTGAAATGTAAATTGATTATTTTTTATTATATGATCAATATCAATTTTATTATTAGTTAAACTTTCTTGCTTTCTAAAAAAAATAAAATTTTATTAAGTTTTATTATTTATAATATATTTTTACTCTTCGTAATTTGATTCATCATCTGTCTTACGAACAGTTGTTACTGGAACAATAATATCTTGTGCACAACGATGATGAGCTACGTTTCGAAAAGTACGATAGATGTAACTGGCTAGACGCCACATGATTTCACTTTTCTTTTGGTTACGAAATACTGTTCGTTACCGTTGATGGAAAAACCGTTTCATATGAAACGGCTATCCATTTTTATTAAACAATAATCTAGAAAGAAATTAAATTGTAAATAAACATGATGACTTTCAAAGTTCTCACATTAACAAGGAAATCAATTGAAATAACTCAAAACTTTTAATCTTATATGTTTATCATAACTTGAGAAAGATTCATCGGTTAGAGAAAGTCTACGAAGATATGAACACATGTTGTGATGCGTCTGAGAGTTATACTGAAATTTTTCTACCAGGCCCCGATTTTTTTTCAAAAAAAAAAATGAATTATATTTTTAAACTTTAACTTGAAACTTTGCCGAAAGCAACATCTTAATCAGATAGACCTTGTGTAAAATTTCATAATTTTTGAACGTAGCATCACCAAACTTGGAATTTTTATATATCTTACCAGAACTTATATCGTCAAAAAATTTCAAGGTTGGCGATGTTAGATTTAAAAGAGCTGATAATTGATTTATACAAACTCTTCTTGTTCACATACTAATAGGGAGAAAGTTTTGAGTAATAAAAACAAAAAACAAAAATAACCTTTTATTCAAAGATCTGAATCGCATACAAAGGCTTCAGTCCAATCTCTATATCTCGAACAAATGAGAACATATTTTTGTATTCTCTTAGCTTTATATATTCTGCAAATGTCCTCATACGTATTAATGCATCTGACAACATTGATGTGTGTCCCGTGATCGCTTCGTACGTATAGAAGAAAAACTTCACCACATATATTACTGCTTTTTGTTTGTTTGTAGAATAAGCCACGCGCGAGTATTGACGTCACCTATTTCTGTTGCTTCATCATCATTACATTTTTTTTCTTTCCACTCATCGATAGCGATAAGAGATAAACGAGAAAAAAAACTATAGAAAAGTAAAAAAAAAAAAGACAGGTTCTACCCAGATTTGAACTGGGGTCGCTGGATTCAAAGTCCAAAGTGCTAACCGCTACACCATAGAACCACGTTATACTGTTATCAAGATATTCTTCTCATCATGTCCAAACTAACACACTTGTTGAATACATATAACTGCATTACCAATGAATACGTCAAAACAACATTCAAATGAAAAAAGTGTTGTTTTTTTTAAGAGTTCGCTCAGGACAATTTTTGTATTGATTGTAATTGTAAAATCATACAAAAATTATATTACATGTCCTTCGTCAATCTTTTTAGTCAAACATAATATTCATAGAATGTTACTTTTATTTAAATTTTCGTAGAACAATAATCAAGCCGAAAAATATTATATAGCATAGAAAAAATCCATTTAATATTGCCAATGAAATAATTAAAAGAGTATTTATTTTAAAAAAAAAATTTATAAGATTATTTTAGATCAAAGTTTATTGACGAATGAATTATTTACTCACAATGAAGCATAGATTAATTGAAGAAAATATACAAATTCAAGTAAAAGGTAATATTTCACCTTAAAATGAACATCATATCTATTCAAATAGGAATTTCATTTAAGCGTAACTACACATATACAATCAGATGTACCTTTTAAAATCGCATATCATAAAAAAAAATTTTTTTCTCGCCATTCCTAACATATTGAAAAGTTCAATCTACTTTGTAATTCTTGTATGTGTATTTTTCTTAAACATTTCATAAATATAACCTAAAAATTTCAATGTCATAACGATCGATTATTCTCTGATGAACAATCTATTGCCAACATATTGTCAGTTCTTATAAGCATCAAGATATGTCGGTCATAGTGCGGCATGAATATTAACATTAACTTATATAGATGTGTAATATTTTAAATTGTAAATTCATTGCCAATAGATGTCACTTAGAATAAATTAAAAAAAAAACTTTAAATTTTTATAAAATTTCTCTTAAAAATAAAATAAAATTGAATTTTTTCAAATTGAATTTAAACAACAACTCATGCGTGAATATTCATTGGATACTAAGCATTCTTTTCTTTTCTAATAAAATCAGCTGTTCTTCTTTTTTCAGTGTTTTTTGTTTGTTGTGGATACTTGCACAAAGTTTTTTTTTTTTCTCTCTGATTATTTTAATGTTCGAATAAGAAAGGAAAGAGAAAAAAAAAATGTTTTTCTATGTTGTCATTCTTGACAGAAAATATCAAGGATTTCTTCGATTGTAAAAAATACAAAACAAATTTTTTATGTATTTCAATGTTTTTTTCTTTTTGTATTTTCTAGATTGAACTATGTTATCACCTTTGCAAACATTTTCAACTATGGTGAAACTATTGAATTTTTAATTGGTTTTCTTATCATTGTTTTTTCTATATTTCATTGATAATTTAGATGGATGATCGTACACTTCGAGCTTATTTACGTAATAATTCCGCATGGAATTTAGATGAAAGTGCACCAGGACCACCAATTGATCATTTTAATATATCATCAACTGGTAATAGTGATAGATTACTTAATAGTAGTGTTCATTTTCCAGTAGAAATGAGGTATGAAAATAACAAAATTCGTTTCGATATAAGAAAAAAAAAAACAAATTTTCTTTTTATTTGTTTAGATCGGCAAATCTTAATGATATGGTATCAAATATAATTGATGAAAATTCAGAATATCATCAAAATGCTATGTTATCAACATATTCTCAATATCCATCAACATCAATTATGATGCCAACAACATGGTCAAATGGTGAACAATCAGATCAACATATACAATATATGCAACAAGTGAAAAAGTAATTTTAGAAAAATAAAAATTTTGTTAATAATTTTTTCCAGAATAGTTCTTAAAATTAATATCGAATATAAAATTGAAATGATTATCGAATGAAAAAAAGAGAAATCGAATAGAAGTTTTATGTTTGTATTATGAATAGCTTTGGTAAATATCATCTATTCATTATTCTATGAAGAGGTTTATCTTGTATTCTAAGAGTATTTATACGTTATTTTTAGTCATTTAATCCTCAATTGGTAGACTTCAGAAGAATTAGATTTGCTTCATATGATTAAGTTTGTTCAATGTTATTTGTTTTTATTAATAATTAACAGTGGATTAAATAACGTGCATACTGATTGTTTGATTTAATGTTATTTATCATTTTGTGAAACGGGATCTAAAAAGAATGTTGAAATATATAGAGTAGAAATTTCGACCTTTTCACAACTTGTTTTAATGTATAAAATGCTTCCTAATTGCGTTTTTAGAAGAGTAAGTAAAATGATGATGAGAAAGTGTATTGCAAGATAGATAGAAGAATAAAGTAATTTCATTATGATTAGTAACAGCAGCTACATCATATTTGACATTTTAATCCTATAGGGATTGTACAAACCGTTTGCTTTTTATTGGCGATTCTTTTTCTCATGAAAAAATACAGATTTATGGATAATGAAATATGCACTTAAGGAATTTTGTAGGAATAATAGACAATAAGGCTTCTTTTAGTCACATTGATAATCTATTTCTTACTTTGTTGTCATGTAAACATTTTCTATAGAAACTCAAACAATGAAAACTTTTACTATTTTTATGAAATATTGGATGCTTTAGAGGTATGTTTAATTAAAAAGAAAATACTCTCCTGTCATAATTATTGATTATTTAGATAAATTTCTATATTCATAAGAAATCTTTTATATCTTCTTTTCAACTTAAATTTTAGCAAAGTTTTATAGAGAAGAAAAAAACCCATGAATAGATAGACAATCAAAATGAATTTTGCTTAAGAACTTCATCGAATAGAATTATGCACAAAAATATAAAACAATCTTCAATAACTCGTAACAATTTGAAAAATCTAAATAAATTCATAAATAAAAAATATACTGGAAAAAAAATTATTACATTCTTAAACTTAGAGGCATGCCATTGGTATCTCCTAAGAGACAAAGTACTTTAATAAGATTAAAAATATGAGAATAACTAACCTCAATGGCAACAGATAGAGATGAATTGAAATGACAAAATAAGAAAATCATGAAAGTTACTACCTATTCAAAGATTTGATAGTTAAGCCGTTTATAATATCAATGGTAGACATATACGAAACTACATTGTTTTTTTGTTGCTAGCTTAGGAAAATTTTGATCAGGAGAAAATATTGAAGATGTTATTAATTGTAGTTTCATTTCTTGGCTAGTAGTTTACCTATGTCTAATTGTTGACAATCAATAGAGCACAATGAATGGGAATAGGAAAAAAGATTCATTTCGTCTCTGTCATGACTTTTAATGTATATTTTATTATTAACACTAATGATGTACAACACAGAAAATGATATTTCAGAACTATAAGGTTTCAATATTTAGAAATTACAAGTTTGAATCGATATATTTTAAAGAATGAAATTTATTATATTTTAACTGATGCCATACTCTTGAAACACATATCAGTTGATAGAGCTTAAAATTTTAAGTAAAATGACACTCCTAATGTATTTTAGTAATACTCAACGAATTTCATAACATAATAATTCTAATTGCATTTTATTTAGTATTCCACCTCGACAAACAAAATTTGCTTCTTCAACTATATCTGAAAGTGGTCATCCACGTAATATTCCAGGTAAAATTTCTTACTTTTCAAACAAAAAAAAAAAAATACTTTTTTTTATTTCTCTAAATTCAATTTTTATTTGATTAGATACATGTTCAATCCGTCCAAATCCTCCTAAAGATATTCAAGTTCTTATTCGTAAAGGTGATCATACTGGTATCAATTCTCTTATAACAAATATGCCATTACAACAATTTCGTCAGATGATCGGTTTACAATGTAGTTCAAATTTAACAACAATAAATGATCGACGAATTTCATCATCATTACGTACATTAGATAATCGACGTCCTTATACATCATTAAATAATAATCTTAATCAAACACAACATCAACCATTATCATCATCATCATCAAGTTCATCATCATCAATAGGAACATTAAATTCTCGTCTTGTTAATAATTTTAAACAACGATCACAAGATACAATATTACAACAAAATTATTCATCATTTCAAAATAATGATCGACAACATTCACCAATGTTACCTATTTCTCCTCGTATGTTTTATATTTTTATTTAATTTAATTAAAAAAAAAAAAATTTTTTTTTTTTTTTTTAAATTTAGGTGATACATTATCAATCAATTTTTCTGGTGCTAATAGTGGAACATCAACAATAAATGATGCTAATTTAACATCACCTGTAACAACATGTCAAGACATTAGGTAAGAATTTTACATTAGTTTTATTAGTTAAACTAGGGTGATCTCTTTATTTAGCTATTTTCGATCTAACAGGTACTTATTCTTTTCCCTCCTGTTTTTCTTTTTATTCTTCACACATATTTACATACCAAAAAATAATCTCTAATAGTCTTTTTTCCTACTATGTACACAAGTGCTTTGATTCACTTGCTTGTTTTTTTTATTATTCTATTGATTTAATATAATTTCTGCTTTTTTCTTTTTTGCGAATTTATTTTAGACGAACAGGTGTTGCAAATACATTGCGTATGTTAATTTGTTTTTCTTAAAATCATTAATTGTATTGTAATTTTCTTAGATATTGCTATTGAAAAATGTTATGAACAATTGAATTATATTCGAGATAGTTATACAGAAGTAAGTATTCGAAAATATTTTTATATTAATATATATTGATATGTACTGAACCCGAACAGTTCTCGTTTAACTGTTCGAAACTTAGTTTAGATAGTGGCTTAAGGTATATTGATACTCATGAAAGCATTTTAAGGTTTAGATTCGAGTATTTCTTAACATTATTACTGAAAATTAACGCAGTCAAGACTAAGCACGAAAGTTCGGTGTATGCTTGGATGTACACCCTTCACTTTATCTCTTATAAGGTCTTGAACAAATTATAATAATAAAAATAAACGGATAAAAAATGAAGCAAAATTAATTATATCGATTGGCGCCAGTTCCATTTCTGATTTACTAAGAAATGTTTCTAACTCCTACAAAGAAAGTGTTTAAAATAGGTAATTGTGTGTTCTTAGAAATATATGACAGTACACAGTTCATTACATTGACTTCAAATATTGGAACTGTTAGATCTTGATAAATTCAATGTCTCTCCTATCAACTCTTTTCTAAAAGCATATTATTCATATAATTCACATTCTAATCAATTTATCATATATCACTAAATAAAATATTCACACGGATATCTTTATTGTTTTAAAGAGACTTCATACGTAAATTTCAATGACTAAGCTATAAAACAGCGAAGGATTTTGTATATTGACTGCAAATAATTATTTAATATTTATTTTCATTTCTTCATCAAATATCAACAAATTAATCATAATAGTACTATAATCAACACAGTGCATAGTAATAGACAAAATAAGCATGTATGTCCTTAACAGGACAAAAGAGTCCATGATGAGTGGTGTATAATTTCAAAGTTATTCATTCAGTCCATGAGAAACGATAATCATATCGATAAATAGCTAGTAAATAGACTGCGTCATACATATTTTAATGGTTTCGACCAAATAGAAAATTGATATATATGTATATTTACATGAGCACGCATATGTTAAAATTTTTAAATTTAAAAGAAAAGTTGACAAAACACGGATAGATTTTCAAATAAATGGTCAATATTGCGAGATTATTTGTTATACTATATCAGACAAATTACTTTATTATCATTACATGATATGAAAAAAAAAAAGTAATCTTTGAAAAGCATCTATACATATTTAGTCTTTTTTTTTCTGTCTTACTACACATCTTAACATATGAAACTTCAATGTTTGTAAAAAAAACCGGTATCTTGGTTCATATTTTGTTTAATAATACAATAAAAAAAAATACATTCGTCAGAAAGTAGGCTAGAACATAGAATCTATAAAAGTTTAAAGTTATAGACTAGACGATGTTCTTCATTTGTTTATCGCTTTCAATCTGTATGTCAAATTTCATTTTGAAAATAACATAAAATTGATGAGATACTTCTTCGTTAGAAAATTCTTTTAATGATATTTGTACTTAGACGGAATCAAAAGTTGGAATTCAAACATTGCATAGATCTTCATCATCATCATTAATAAATGATATAACAAATTCAAATTTGTCAACATTATCAAATAATCCATCACGTGTTGATCGATTAATTGCTGAATATCATTATGAATATACTCGAGTATGTTTTATTTTGAAATTTTGTTTTAAATCATTGTAAACAAAACAAAACAAAAATTATTTAATTCAAAGATAATTCGTTTACATGAACGTGTTAAAGAAATTTTACATATGCAAGATATTGAAGCAACACGACAAACACTTGATGAATGGCTTAATGCTATTAATAATGTACAAGAACGTCGTCGACAAGAAATTGATAATGCAGCTGAAAAATGTCGTTCAGGTGAACCACGTTTACCTGATGAAAAAGGTTTAAATAATTATTTGTTTTTTGAACTTTTAATAAACAATTATTTTTGTAGATGTTTTACAATTAGCTGAAGCTTTACGTATATTACGAATAACAACAAGAAAAATTCGAACTGTTCTTTGGTATTGGTTATATTGGATAACAAATTCTACAACAAATAAAATTCCATTAATAGCTCGTCATCAAGATGAACAATTAAATATAGAATTTCAATCAACTATTCACGTATTTATTTTAATTTGAAAAATTAAAATTTTATTTTTATCTTTTTGTTTTTTTTTTTTTTGTAATTCTCAGAATGATCAACATTCAACATATAATTTATTTTATCCTTCAACTAATAATGAAGATGAATCAAAAACTACACTTGAATCTGATGAACAACGAAAAATCTTATTTAAAAACTCATTATCATCAAATGATAATAATAAAGAAAATGAATGCAACAAATAATTTTTTTTTATTTGTCTCGTTGTCCATACTTATGATAATCTCGAAAGCATTTTTTTTTTTTTCGTTTGATTTAACCCGTCCATATAGATATGCATTTTTGTGACAAAACAAAGCTTGATCTCATTGTTTTCGTTCTTTCTTTTTTGTTTTTGTTTTTTGTTTCTTTCTTCTTATTCCGGTAGTTTGTACATATATGAGAAATGTTCATTGGCTTCTTGTGATAGGAACAGTTGAAAATACTGTCGTATTAATTTGTTGCTGTTGTTGTTATTGCACTTCTCACTAGTCGTTTCCTTTTTTCTGTTTTATTTCTTGTATTCAAAAAATGAGAAAAGAAAAAAGAATGACAACGCGTCCGGTGACGTGTGTGTTTGTTGATTGAAATTTTTTTTTTCTCTCTATCAATCTTTATTTGTTAGCTTTTTTTGTTTGTTTACTTATTCTTTACTTAGTTCTATGTGTGTATCTAGAGAATAAAACTATAATGATACTTTGAAAATCTAAAACATGACGACTTGAATAATAACAATATTTACGACGGCGAGTTTTTTCTGAACCAGTCATATTGAAAGAGGGTGTGGATGTGGATGTGGATGTGGCTGTGTGACTGAAGAGAAAGCATACCCCTATTGTGGATTATCATCAAAAGAATGCATTCTCGAGTTTATGTAAATCAACCATTTGACCAATTTCATGAAAGTAGAAAAAACAAAAGAACAACAGCATTACAAAGTCGAATAAGCATGTTATATAATCAATATAATAATTAGTTAATTAGTGTATCTGATCTCATCAACGACTTGTCTTTTACTGTAGCAAAACCAAAGTTCTGTTATCAATAATCAGCATTTTATTTGAATTCAGCTATTTGATTTTTTTAATGTACTAATGAAAAAAATATTCAGAAGTTTATACTTCGGTTTTCGACGTGTTTTCTTTCGATTAAAGTTGAGATGATCGATAATATCTGTCGTTTGATTACTTTTTATTTTCAAACGTACTACATGTCGAATTAATCAATTCCAATAAATCACTCGAGCTCGTTATCCAACAACGAGATGCTGTAGAAATAAATAAAGGAAACGTAACACCTTTTTTCGTATATTGACAATGAATGAAGAATATTACGATCTGGCTTCGAACGAACTGATTTGAAACTGCATCTAACTTAGTGTTTTTTTTTGATAGTGATATCTATTGTGTTTTACTAAAGCATGGGAACAAAATAGTAGACCACCTGGTTGAATTCTCACGATTATTATCGTTGACGGAATCTATATGTAATGTTCACATTATAGTAAGAACAACTAAAAAACGTTAGCAGTAATGTCAATTTCTGGAGTGAATTGGATTTATTTGTTGGTTATTGTGCTATTATCAATGTTCAATGGCTGTTTGACAAGAGGTGTGAATGGTGGTACTGATTGTGCTAGTTGTACGATTGCTTTAGGTGTCATTGAACACCTCTCCATCTTATATAATGAAACTATTGTAGAATCACTCGAACGCTTCTGTAACTATTTACCTAGTGATATCAAAACATATTGTAAAATTGCTGTCGACTTTCTGGGTAAGCTTCCATTCTGAACAAGTATGAGAAATGAGAGCAAGAAAAATCTCATTTAAGGTCCGCTTATTGTCGATGGTTTTCTCAAAAATGAAACGCCCGATGTTATCTGTCATGCCCTTAAGCTTTGTACAGATGATTCAGGTCAACCTGAATGTCGTTTATTTCCATCAAAATCTTCGTCGAGTATTTCTCTATCACAAAGAGGATCGAATTTACGTCGCCGTTATCCATTACTGGCTCCGCTACTCACTTCAAAAGCATGTGACCTTCCGGGTATCAAGGAAATCTGTAAAATTTTCGAAGATGTCTTTAACCATCATATGCCTCTGGTTGATATCGATGGGGATCATTTCGGTACTGAATCATCATTTCGTGGTACTGCATGGCGTGGTAAAGATTGTGATGATTTTTCATCGAAAATTCGACCAGGTGCACGTTCAGTGATGGGTGATTATGTTGTTGATCATAATTGTAATGGTATTTTTGGTATGAATTCGGCAACTAACAAACCTTGGGAAGAAGAACTTTGTAATGATACACAACGTATGGGCATTGCTGTTTTGGGAGATTCAGTTTCAGCTCATTTTCATATACCAGAACAGTGGTTGGATGCTCGGCAATTATCTGTAGGTGCATTCGAACACTTGGTATATATAATTGGAAATGAGCTCGATTGGCCTCAATTGTCTGGTACTACAGGTCATATCAATAACACTTGGCCTAATATCGAAGGTAAGTTCAATACTAAAAACATAATGAAGTATTTGTATTTATGTATTTTTAAGGTACAACTCGATCGTTATATGCTCGTCTCTTTGATCTCGATCATTGTAACCATCGAGATTATCAGAATATAGCAGTCAATGGAGCTGACAGTGAATCCATTCTTAATATTGCCCAAACATTAACGCGTGATCAACAAAATGATGTACCATTACTTGTAGTCTATTCCTTGGTCGGCAATGATGTTTGCAATGGTCATGCAGATACAATTGCACGCATGACTACTTATCAAGAGATGTACGATCGTGTATTGACTGAACTTGCTTATCTCGATACGATACTACCCAAAGGTAGTCATGTACTAACAACTGGTCTTGCTAATGGAAGTCTTTTGTATCAATTACTACATGATCGCATTCATCCACTTGGTCGTGTCGGTCCACCGATAACATATGCACAAGTCTATTCATATCTCATGTGCTTACAAATTTCTCCGTGTAATGGTTGGTTGACATCGAATGATACATTGCGAGCTTTTACTTCGGAACGAGCTGTTAATCTATCTATAGCAGTTCATGATGCTACCAATGCCTATTCACCTATCAATTTCGATACTGCCTTTTTGAACTTTCCATTTGATCAAGCGATTCAGGAATGGATATCACAAGGTGGTGAACCTTGGCAATTGATCGAAAGTGTTGATGGGTTTCACATTAGCCAATATGGTCATGCGATTACATCTGATGTTATTTGGTCATGGTTGCAAACAAATAAACCTCATTGGTTACCACCCGTTAATCCACACAACGCCGACATTGAACGAATATTTAAAGACCAAGGCGGATATTAAAGATTCTATTGAATATTGTCACTTTTCTTTTTCGACAAGAAACACCCTTATATGACATTCGAAAAATATTTTTTTATTCGCTGTCAATGCTATTAAACAATTTGAAACAATATTCAATAAATTATATAAATTCAAATTATTCACACTGTAATCGATGTGTATAACAGCCATGATGAGCATAGAAAGATGAAAACAAATTTTACAACAACACATGTATTATTTAAAACTGTTATCTCCAACAAGCCTCTAGAAGCGCATTTCACAATAGTGTATCATATGATTCTAGTAGTTCGAAAGTATCCTAATTTGAGGAGGAGTGTAGGGATGGTCTATCATCTAGTCATCTATGCATAGTTACCTTACCAATAGATCTGAGTAGTTGTAATGCATCGTAAACAATCAATATGTACTCAATTTAAGATATAGATAAAATATGAATCATATTTCTGTGTACGTTGACATGATTCAATAGAAAGGGTTTTCATCGTTGATTGAACTTGGATAATAATCGTTAATAGTATCTATTTTGGTTGATTTTCAATATTTCTTTTTTTCTTCTAAAGAAACTTTTTAAGCAACAAAACCTATTTTCACTCGCAAGTCGATATGAAACTGATGTTCAGATCGAAAATGATGAGTTCACTTTTTATTATTGGCTGTGACGATGGTTGGTAATGGTTTGATATCTGGCAAGACCATTTCTTGTCTAGCAGTTGGATTATTTAACATTGTTTCTTTTTTGTAATATTCTAAAAATAAACCTCCGTTGAGTAAATGTGGATTTAAATGAAGAAATTGTTCAAAATTGATTTGTTTCGGACTTTGTGCTATGGCTAGATCAATCATTTGAATCCAGAAATACGTCATTGTAAAATGAAATGTTGTTTTTCGTGCTATTGGACTATTTTGAATGAAATTCTTAATACCATCAAATATTTTGCTAACTCCTGCACGACGACCATTACGTGTCAAATAAAGCCATGCCATGCGTACATGAGTTTTATGAGACCAACTTTTTAACGAATTCGATTCGAATTGTTTTAGAAACTCATCGTCATCTAATTCATCAACTGATAGTTCACGTGTCGCGTTATTTTGTTTCTCTACCGTATTATTAATAGAAACGGAGGATGCAGGTAAAATACTTGGCAATTGTTTCACATCTGGTAAAACAACAGTTGTTTTTGCCTGTCTACTAAACAATGTATCTTTTTTATAGTAGCTCAAGGGTAGTTCAGTTTCGTTCAGCAATTGAGGATTCATTAATAAGAAACCAGTAAAATCATTTGTTGGATTTTTCGTTGCTTCAAATGCATAATGCACAATTTGTATCCAGAAATAGATCAATGTCTCATTCATATCTTTAATATAGAACTTGAGATAGTCAAATAGTATTTTTACTGTCTTCTGTCTACCGAGTATCACTAAATATACCCATATTATTCTCAATAATGTTCGATGGTCAAATGCTTCGATTGATAACTGATGCTTTTCGAATTTTTCAACAAAATCTTCGTTTGTATCATCATCTATTTGAGACAACCATTCTAGTGATTTATTTTCATCAAGATTGTTTTCAATTTTCGTTGCAAAAGCATTTGATTCCATAGCCATATGTATCGATTCCAAAGTATGCGGAGATTTCAATGAACATACTAACCAACTTAGACCTTCATACAAACCATCACCCGTACTAGCACAACAGGGCTGCAAAAACCATTGTCTATTTCTAATATTATTGAGTCGCATTTCTTGAATAACATATTCGGATTTCATACTGTTAGATAGATCGATTTTATTTAAGTAGATTAATATAGGTATGTAGATTAATTCATCGGCCGCTAATACACGCCACAATTCTTCGGTTGCTTCTGGTAATCGATCTCTGTCATTTGAGTCAATTACGAAAATAAGAGCATGTGTATTTTGAAAATAGTGTCGTAACAAGGGACGAATTTTATCACATCCTCCTACATCCCAAATAGTTAAAGAAGTATTGTTGTACGTTACTGTTTCTACATTGAAACCAATGGTGGGAATCGTTGAAACAATTTCATTGAGTTTTAATCTATAAAGTATTGTCGTTTTTCCCGATGCATCAAGACCCATAGTTAGCACACGATATTCAGGTATATGAAATAATTTACTAAGCATGGTACGAATACGTGACGCCATTGAAGAAGAATTTTGTTACTTCGTGTAAGTTTTCGTCTGTATCGTTTTGCCAAATAGTTCGTTATTCACTGACGATATACCTTTCTTCTTTCATCCTATTTTTTTTTTCTCATTTATTGACTCAGCGAACACACTAGACACATTTTATTTTTTCTTCTTCATTCTATTGAGAACGTCGACAGAACGAATAGAGCTTAGTTACATAAGCAAATCAATTACAAAATGAAATATTTATGGCGCCGTCTAGATTCGTTGCATCGAACTCAGGTCGCACTAATATGAGTAACAATAAAATATTTTTCTTGAAAAGAGGCAATTTAAGCATGTAGCTGTGATCAGTAGAACATTGTTGTACACATTTGCATGCGACATCTTTCGACGGTGCCTACTTGAATTTAAAGAACCCGAGCGCATATGAATAAGTTTGGCTTCTTCTAACTTTCATTATTAAAATTAACTAGATCATATATAAATCGATAAATAAATGATGATTCAAATTTATTCTAATAAGTTTTTCTTCAGACTATACTCTACTGTAACAGTCAGAGGTCCAAACAGACAACAAGGTCTGCCGGCCTGTCACAAGCGCAGGCCACGATTTTGAGGCCTGCGCCTGTGACAGGCAGGCCGTTTGAAAATGACAGACCGCCTGGTCTGTCTACTTTTTTTTCGAGATCGAAGTTTCATCTGATAATTTGATGATGTTGTTAGCAAATTGATATACAAACTTCATTAATTTTCAAAAAAAAACACATTTAAGCGTGATGAATTAGACAAATACTGCAGAATGATTATTAAAGATACGGATAGAAAAGCAATTCCCTTACCATTCTGAAGAGATCATGAGCACAGATTTTCCTAGTTATTATTATCTACTTGTTATGTTTCTCAATTTTAGATAATTTGATTGAGTCCAAATCCTTTTTTTTCTTGTAGATTTCTACTGATTGAATATTGTTCCTCTCTTGATACCAATTCTTTCAATGACATCGTGATCTGACGGGAGAAGTTTATTGAGAATATTCTTGAATAAAAATCAGATATCTTCCACAAGATGACTATCTTAGCATTGTTTTAATTTTGTCTATGTATCCCCAGTGTTCACTTTGTAAATTTTTAATCGATAATGAAACTTTTCAACGTATGCAGACATCTGTAAAATTGTCAATACTTAGAGACACCACCAGCTCTCAAAGAAGATAGAGTTCGAAATTGATATTACTTACACATTCCTACAACGCCGTGCTTTCTTTTGATTCAGCTGAAGGATCGTCTTGCTTTTAGATACAGACAGTCATAATCACTTTCACTTTTATTTATACAATGGCTTTAACAATTAAAGATTGGATGATTCAGAAGACAAGGAATTTTTTAGACGAAATTTTACTATTTAGACAATTTTATTAATTTTCTTCTAAGTTCGTGTTGAAAGGTATGTGCCACAAAATTCTCTTCAAAAATTCTATATGATGTTTTATTACAAAGTATAAGAACAGGAAGCTACACGAAAAATATTTAAGGTCTTCGAAGGTACCAGCTTTCTAAAGCACGTTTTAGTATTCCTTAACTTTTTGCTAAGCGGTGACAAAAGTATAAGCATATATGAAATTAAATTTTCTGTTGCTGTGAATAATGCAGATCTAGCCATTGTAACAGAAGTTATGCAAAAAGTTGATTCTAGGTTCAGTAACATCATACATTTTTAATCGATTAGAAATCGATAATAAATTGACCTTGATTTGTTTTTATTGTAACCGATCCGCTAACAATTAACAATCGATAAAAGAACCATGATTTTAGTCATTTAAAATGGATCTTTTCTGACTTTTACATGACTTATTTTTTTACATGAGAGTGTGTCCTCAGTTTTTAAGGTAGGTATTGTAGCTATCTCTTTAATGAAGTTACTCGTTTATTCAGAACAATGCCAATTTTTGCCGAGCGATTTTGACTTGAAATCGACCGTTCGTTAGAGAAGATATTTTTTTGTGAACTGAAAACTATGCTTTCTTTTATACTTCGGTTGACTAGACCTACCGTTGAAAGTGAATAGCTTTGGTTTCACTCTTAGTGTCACATGCTCTCAAATAAAAAGAAAGATGACACCTCTGTTTAATGGAAAGTTGCAAATTCTGTTGGATTTTTCAATCAGAGACTTTACTGTAGTATGTAGATTGAATTCAGTGACTAGTGTGACTTTTTATGAAGATTACTACTTATTTCTACTTTATTTTTACATGATATTGACGTGAAAAAAATACACTGGCCTATACAGGCACGCCCAGACAGGCCAGGCCTTCAAAAAGTGGGCCTGTTTGAACCTCTGGTAACAGTCATTCATTTAAAAATCTAAAACAATGGTCCTTGTTTTTTTTACACCTATAGTAAAATATATGGATTTGATAAACCATCTTTTTGCTAGATTCGTTATTCCATTAACCAGATTGAATGACTCACATGCGAAATTGAAAGTATCAATAGAGAAATAATCAAGCTGATAGTGCCCGCTGTGATTAACAACCCATCACCGTATCCTTGACTATCAAGTTGTATTCATAGTTGAAAAGCTTTATGTTTGGATCGATAATGGTATGTATTTTTCAAGTTCAAAGTGGATGAGTTAACTGCTCACGAAACATTTATAGGATAAGTAAAAATACTTTTTCCATAGGAGTAGCGGTGGTTTTAGGTTTATGGCAACTTTTCTATGTCGAATTCAAGAAATTCCTAAAATTTAACGCCATATATGTAGCGACAAATTCCTTTCATGAGGTAGTTCAAAAATACATCTCATACAAAATGATAACTATCATTAAAAGTTAGATACATGATCTAGAAATATTGGAACAATTATCAAAAATGAAGCTGAATAAAATGATTATTAGATACAAAACATAAGTATTTTGATAACAAAATTCGAAAAATACTCTATTCCATGGTTATATTTGTGCTGTAAAAACGTTAATGGGTTCAACTCTGTGAATTGCACTTTCACACGAAATGTTAAATTGTGAATATAATTGAAGAAAACTTCAGCAAGTCAGCTGTATTATGACGGTTTCATTATTTGTGTGAAGAGTTTATTTTAATCATGAATTAAGGTTCTGCTTGATGCTATCTATCAACTGTTTAATTTATATGGCGCTTGAAAGGAGTCTACACTCGCATTTCAGACAATCGAGCAAGGTTATGTTTGTATATTAGAGCGTTGCTTGACATCGAGAAGAGTTTATTATTTTATAATTGCAGCGAACATCAATGTAGTAGATAAAAATTCCTGATTAGTCTCTTATTCTCAAAAGATTGAACATGTTCGTTGCAATTCATTCAAAGCTCTTGTAGTAGTATCATAGAAATATTCTAAAACTAATATTCGCATTTTTAATGATACAATAATTGACTGAGAGCCTGGTATCAACACAAGAAAGACAATTATACATTATTCAAAATCATGCTAGATATTTATTGTTGTCCTTAGCAGTCTAACTAAAATGTTTTATGTGTATTATATTTGAATTAGTTCCAGTTTTGAAAAATTTTGAAAAAAATCAAGAGAAGAAAATGTTAATATATGAAAGAGAAAACTAAGTAAAAGATAATGTTGGTTGATTTTGATGATAACTGATGGCACCGTTCTATTGAAAGATGTGAATTTGCATTTATGTCATTTGTCCTAAAAAGAAAGTAAAGCTGTTAGTGCAATTTCTGTCGGACTGAAATGGCATATTTCTTTAGCCTCCTTTTAATTCCTCAGAAATGCTGTAAGGAATTAGTTCATCTATTATAATGTGACATATTTCAATATTCAGTCTATAATCGTATATCAATAAGGTCTGCCACGGTAGATAATGGTTTCTGGCTAGCGTCCGTCACGCTCGAAGATGGAGGATATGAAATTTTTGACCCCTATACTGCAAAACATATTTTAGATCGTTTTTCACAAAAGTTCTTAAGTAATTGATGATCATAAAATATTGCAAATAATAATAATAAACTCGTAGAAGAAAATATCAATGATGGCTTAGATTATCAGGGCCTTCTCTCGATGAGTTATAATGAAAAGTCTATATTGACACAACATACCCGACTTAAACATTCTATTCAAATATACTTCTCACTTCAAAGAAACAAATAGATGAGCATTCGCCTATTGAAATACGCTAAAGATGAACAAATAATATTAACAGAGATTCAAATACATTGTTCGATTCGAAGCAAAAGTTTGAAGTTGATGTTATCATCGGGATAGGCATGAAAAGTGAGCAGTTCAAACAACACTCATATTCAAATATTTTCTTTCCTTCAAAACACAGATTTGAAGCTGACTATATCATTGAGAAACACTCAACGAAAAGATAATTCAAACGAAACAACTATTCAGATATTTTGCTCAATTCGAAGCACAGATATGAAGTCGTTTATCTGATCAAGAATTACACGATAGAGGAATAGTTCATAGGTAATGATTGTTTCAGTACTTTGCTTTATTCGAAGCAATGGTTTTGAGTTGACTACATCATCGAAAAACACGCGATAAAAGAATTACTCATAGGAAACGATTATTTCAATACTTTATTTAATTCGAAGTAAAGGTTTGGAGTTGATTGTATCATCGAGAAACGTTCAATAAAAGAATAATTCAAAATAAACGACTATTCAAATATTTTGTTCAATTAAGAGCAAAGATTTCGACTTGATTATTTGAGTAATGCTGAGACCTAACAATTTGCGGTAGCCGAAAAACTCTTACGCTTGCTTGTTATATGACGGAGAAAAACGTTCAGCAGCTGTGCTGTCAACTGAAGTGGCTAATACAGTGTGAGTTGTGGCCACTAACACCAAAAGGATGATTAAACATACCGTTTGGTTGCATTGTTTCATGATGACTGCTTGCTTTTATGGGGTTTGACAAGAAAGTAGTAGATAAAATTTGAACAAGCAATCAAATGGTGTGGTTGTACAGTTGTGCTCCGATTTTATGTATTCATAGACTACCTAGC